TCTAACTTCAGCAAATAAGCCTTTGAGCTCTCCAGTTTTATATCTGCAAGTGTGAAGTCTATCGTGAACGTAGAACTCGCTGCACAAATAGCTGGTCAAATTTAACCTTAAAATGCAACGCTAACACATTTGTGAAATTTGACGCACAAACAGAGAAAAACTGCCGTGTCTGCAAGGGTATTCTAAGCCAAAGCTTTATTATTGCAAGAAACTGAGTAATCATAAACCCACGGCGAATAGAGTTCGCAATACAAGAAGAACAACTTTATGCTGAAGCAAGATTAATGAACACCCATTTATCAAAGTTACCGTGTATTTGCCCTTCTCTTTATAATTTTCGAATGAAAAATCTCAGCAAAGCAAGATATAGCATCTTCGGAAATCTCCTACCAATTTTTAGCACCGAAGGTTCTCGTCTTGAGGAGAAATAAAGCCACCAACCCCAGTTCCTCAACCGATCCATTTTCAGCTGCAATAAAAACCCTTGTATTAAGTAATTTATTCAAACATGTTAGATTTGCCATCACATTCGCACGAGCAGTTTGTCATTGGGGATAATGAAAAGAATAAGAGGATTGTCATATTTTCTTCATCTTTATCCCCAAGTGGCAAACTTCCCGTACGAATGTGATGTCAAGCCTAAAAAGCTTGAATAAATTACCAAGTACAAAGGCTTTCAGTGCAGCCGAAAAATGGACGGTTAGAAGTACTGGAGTTGGTGGCCTTATTTCTCCTCAAAACGGAAGCCTGCGACGCTAAAAACTCTTGAGAGTTTTTCCTAGATGCTATATTTTGCCTTGTTAAAATAGGTTTCGAAACTGTCAGCCGAGATGCCATCTCGTGCCTCCTACCTTGTGTATTACAATTATTGTATGGAGGTGAAATTGGGCATGTTATCATGAAACTTCGTTTGATCACTTAGGACAAAAACAACTAACTGCAGAGTAAGTTTCATTGACCTTTATTTAGTATTTCCTACAAAATTTAGGATCGTATTTTTTACCCCACAAAAACACCGTAATTTTACTGGAACATTACTGTGGTACTATCACAAAGTCTGGGTTACCTGTGCTTCCCCTGCAATTGAAATGCATGGAAGCCATAAAAGTGGCAAATAACCATCAAACCCTGATGCAATCACAATCAGCCTAGCATGCAGTGGAGGCGTATTTTGGGCGTGCGAAAGCTGCTTGTTTATGTTGGGTTGGACAGCTGTCATGGCACTTTCGCGAGGAAAAACATTTGCGTGCTCGAAGAAAACGCCCACACCGCAGGTTACCCCTACAGCAATCCCACGCTCTTGTTTAAAACTCAGACTCAAGAAAACTCGCTAAACGCTTTTTCTGTTAAAATCTGCCTTAGTTGTATTTCGTTCACTTTGTTTTTTGTACTTCTTCATTGTTGAACTTTCCATTCTATTAATTATCAAGCCTTGAAAATATTGATTCTTCTACAGTTTCAATATTCACTGGCAAATTATTACTATTGTCGCGATGTCAGACTTCTAACTACAAGATATTGTAAACTATTCAGTCACTACGATCATTTAGATTTATTTGTTTGAATAACGTACTTATCTTAAGAAGGTCTGTGAAAAATATCTCCAGGGGTATAATTTGGCCGAAATCTATTCTCATTCTGTCAACCTTGGGGCTTTAATTAAATTTGCACTCTTCCCCAAAAATTGTGAGCCAGTATAATGTTTTAAGGCCAAAAATATATATTCAGTTCAGGAAACATGTTGCCATATGGTATACATATAAAAGAAGGATCTGGTCAGTTATAACTCTGAAACAAATTATATATCAGCTACATGAGTAGTTAAAATGAAGCTACTGATAAACACCTGGCGCATTTCTATTCATCTGAAATGCTTTTGACTTTCTTTTTCATGTTGATTCTGGTGTGATGCCATTCCGTAATAGTTAAGTGCTTATATTTAAAACTTTTCACCGAATATTAGTTTTGAGATTCGAGAAAAGAACGAAAAACAACAGAAAATCGTTTTTACCTCTTGATAAATTGGCAATAAAAAATTAAGTCTATTTATGAGTAAGTTCTAATTTTGATCATCAGAGCTAATTTGAAGTTTGACTTTTAAAGTAATTTGAATATAGTATTCAAATACAACTCACCGGGGTACAGAACGCGTCACTTGCTTGGCACTTTCAAGGAGAATTTTCCACGGCTCAAGCAGAACCTAAACTATTTAGCAAAGAGGTGATCGCAACATGAACCCTGTGTTGGAGAAAAAGCCCTGGGATGTTCGCAGTGGAATTTTTGCTGTTTCTGCCGTGTGTCTAGGTAAGCGGACTACGGCCGTGAACGGGAAAGGCAGCTTGTTATATTCATTCGTGTCTTCCACAGAATTTTAAGATAAATTACTGTCAGTATATATTTTGATAAAACGAAATGAAGATCTTAATCTTAAAAACCAGTTGAAAATACACTTGTTCTTATTCTGGGACAGTTTTTTATATATAAAGGAGGGAGATCAGTTGATCTTGAACAGTATCCTTCGTGGCATAACGAATAAGAGTCAAAGCATCATTTATGCAAGTCTTTAGTTAGATGAATGTATAATGAATTGTGACTGGGTTGTTTATAAAAACAAAACAAAAAGCAGACATAATTTTCCTGTTTTAAACGAAAACATGTTTCCTCCAATTGTAAACGTTTTGCAAGAGATATTTCTAACCGGCTTTATGCTAAACTTTAACCTATTTTCAACATTAATTACAGGCTTTTGGATCACGTCTGATCTTCCGATCGCTACGTAGAAAACAAACTCCGCGAAAATTATAAAAGGAAATTTCAACAACCTAACTGAATTGCGATTTTCTAGAAAAATCTTGACAATTAGAAGTTATGAAGAACGTTCTTACTTTTGGAATTTTGGAATTAATAAAATTCATGTACTTTACTTAATACTCAGACATTGCGATGCTATATTTACAGATGTTTGAAGTCTGGATTTAATTTTTGGATGTCTACCATTGAATCTACAGGGTTAAAACGAACAGCAAATGATATTTATTTTGCAAGATTTTGGCACGAAAACTTAATAATCGTACGTAAACAAGATCTTTAATCCCAGAATACAAAGACTTGGGAAAACTACGTTGGTCTAGAGATCTATTTGTTCCAAAGATATGTCTTTCTCAGGGGGCGGAATCCCATATAAAAGTGTCGGGGATGCTCGTTGGAAAATTCAATTTAAATCCCAAAGGGAGACAAATGAGGGTGTGGCTCAAGCTTTAACTGACCCCTAAGGGAGATTTCTGTTTGGTCAGTATCAGGGCATTTTTTGTAATTTTTTTTATGCACGCTATTGAACGATACCTGGGTGGGTAAATATAGTGAATTTCCATCCCAAACACCCAAAGCGAGACGATGAGCATCCCATACGGGAGTTCCCTCAGGGATATCTTTAAGGTAGCGTAGTAGCAGTGACTAAGCGTAAGGTCAAAATGGCTGGATATTGGCCTCCTTCGTTTTGCGTTTTTACGGACCGAGACAAAGTCGAGACCCCTAAAAAGCAAGTATGAATCGGGCCAATATTCGGCCATCTAACGAAACAAGTTTGGTCCGAATAAAGAATGAATTATTTGGCCAAAAAAAAAACTTTTCCTTGCGGGACCAACGCGGGAAATCCGAGCGGGCAAGGAAGGCCCATCTTGGCCTTTTGGGTAGACAATTAGAACAAGAAACTCGTTTCATCTTGCCCGCTCGCGGGAGGCAGAGGCTACAGGCAGAAAAAAAAATTAAAGCCAAAGAACCATTGTTTCAACAGGCTTAATCCTCATCATTGGACTTCTTGGCAATGGAATCGTGGTAGCAGTAATCTCAAACTTGCGCCGGCGAGGTCACAAAACGTCCGTTCAGCTCTTCCTCGTTAACTTGACCGTCTCAGATCTGATGGTGTGTTTGCTGTGCATTCCCCTGACTATCTTCGTAAATTTTTATTACCCAAATAAAATAAATGAAAGAGATGTTGGTTTCTGCAAGCTGGCACGAGTTATGCAGGTAAAGATTTTAATGTACAATATATCAACTGTAACGATTCCAGAGGACCTGGTGGAACTGATAGGCGTTGACACCACTAATCAAACAAAAAAATTAAAAGTAATGTTTCAGTGAAAACAGTTAAGATCAAAGCTCTTTAATGTCGCGGGAATAATGTTCCCAGGGTACCAGTTCATTTGTCTCCTAGCGACGCACGTCAGCCAGAACTGGCCTTTTTGCAATATTCAGCAGTAATGTCTCGCCTAAATGTTTTGGCAGGTCCTCTCTATTAGAGCCAAGACACTAAACATTACAAATTTCAGCGTCAGCAACGTCAAGAATTAAAAGGGAAAACCGCAGTGCACCTCACTTGCCTTTGACGTAAGTCACCAAAACGCTTTGTTTAAATTTCCAGTATTATGCCCCGACGAAGGAAATAAATAGTTGAACCAATCAGAGACAACAAACGGAACTTTCTCCTGCGCCCACTGAGGAAACATCAGTAACAATAAACGTGTCTGTTCCTGTCTTCAAGAAAAGTGCGATTTTGGTCCTTATTAATATGTGGACATGTCCTTGATGCAAGGTTTACAGTAGATGATATTTTGCTGGATTATTCCTGACGAATCCGAAACGTTTTGGTATCGGATTGGTTTGGTCAATAAGTCAGGAGATTTTGAATCGGAAATCTAAAGCCGAATGTTTTGTTCAGAGATTACTGTTCAACGTTTTGTAGTGTAAGTAATTCTTCCAACGAATCCAGATAAAGTTTTCCGCTAGTGATCATATGAGTTTGCGGTAAAACCAATTGAAAGGAAAATTATTGGCGTAAAAGTTCCCGCTTGAATGTCTCTGGATTTATCGATGTCGGCAAACGCTGGAGAATCCACTAAAATACCCTGAATATACTCAATGTGTAAACACTTATGAATGCGAAAACCACTGGCCTCCAGTGCAAACCTTGCCTGTTATTTTACTGTACGGAATATGGTAAAAATATATATACGACTTTTCGTACCTTCTTCACCTGTAGTCAAACCATATCCACAGTATTCAATATTTACTTATTAATTTTCCGTAGCACCTTAACCCAGTGATCTCAGTCAGCCTGATGACAGCAATAAGTATTGATCGGTACATGACATTTGTGAAGCAGGAACTAACGTGCATCAATAGAGCTTGGTATCTCAGGCCAGCCTGGTTGATCTTCTTTGCTTGGGTATACGGTACAGTTCAATGCCTTCCCATTTTTTATACAAGCAATTTCATTCCTCTTGATTATAATAACAGCACCATCTACTACTGCAGCACTACACACGGCCAGTCTCTTGTTGGGACGATTTACCTCGTTGCCTCAGTCTTACTTGGGTTCATAATACCTTTAGCAGTCTTAACTATATCATATCGCAAAATTATAAAAGTGATATCGACCAGGAATCGCAGACTTTCCGCCACTGTAGGGAGTATATCCAATCCCACAATCACAAATGCCAAGTTGCTGGAAAAGTCCAGAAAGAGAGTTCTTCGCGTGTTGGTGATTGTTGTTATTTTTTTTGTCGTCTGTTGGTTGCCTTTCGCTCTCTACTTTGGGCTACTGGTGCAGCATCTCAGGGAGTTTCCGAACGTTATGGATCCGGTGAGTCTCATAACCTATGGACTGGGCATATCAAACTCGGTCTTTAACCCTTTTATTTACTTCTTCAACGTTTGCGGTAAGTCCTGTAGTTCTATGCGAAGTAGATTTCTTGAGGTAATGGGAAGTAGCCGGGAGAGGACATCACTGGAAAGTGTAGGAACAAGTTCGACCTGTTCAAGAACCGCCTGCGTAGCCGAACAAGACAAGGACGTAATAGAGTTAGATGTAAACTCTCCTTCTCCTGTCCGATCAGACATCGATAATACATGTACAAGAGTTGCATTCGTTAACGAACTTGCAGAGTTTCAAGGAGAAGGTCTGGATACCAAGTTCTAAATCACTGCGTGATTGCATCAGTATCGGCTTCATTAAAGATGTTTTGTTAACTAGGTGCTCCTCCCGGCCTGTACATTTTGACACAGTGCGGCTCTCACATCCGATTGAATTGCATAATATTAAAAAAAATGATAACATACTTTACCGAAGCGTCGAATTTGTTTTCTTTGGCGGTCATTTTGAATTTTGTGGTCAGCTGATGCGAGGTCTGGAACCGAAAAATCTTCGGAGCCACTCATAGCATCGAACCTTCCGACAGTTTTCCGACTTTCTTAGATCCGTTCGCAGATTATTCAAATTATTCTTGGTTTCAGGCCCGATCGACAAAATGGCCACCAAAGAAAACAAATTCCACGCATCGACAAAGTAAGTCATATTTATGAAACAACAACAACAAATTTATGATGTGATCGAATGTGTGCCTCCTGTATTTTAAATCAATGATGGTCAAGTGGTTAGAAAATAGAATTACAGCAGAAGCCTAAAAACGTTACCGTAACAGAGCGTAAAAATAATTATAATTGTACCATCGATTTAAAATATTTATCCGTTTCTGATTGGCATTTATCCGCGGGTTAATATTCAGAATCATTTATTATTCTTAACCTGCTGACGCTCACCAAATTTGAAAGATACATTATACCATCATTGACGCCAGTCACTCAGACGAAAATGATCGCCTGAATATCTTATATGGATAATAATGCAATAATTGAATTAGACTTTCCTCTCATAATTAGCAATTACTGGATGAGGCTGAGTATGACCTTACGAATTATGCAGATCGATGGGCCGACGGCCAAGGTCGCTAACACAGTCTAAGATCTGCATAATTCTCCAGGGCATTCAAAAGCTGCCTTCAAAAATCGTTTTATTGTATGGTCGAACTTTAAGAAACTGTTATTTATTTTCTTGTAGGTATAAAAACGTTTGAGATATCGGCATCTGTTTAAAACGACATTTTAACAAAAAATGTCAGTAACTGCGAAACCCTAAGACAGATTTTTCTCTAACTTCAGCAAATGAGCCTCAGAGCTTTCTAGTTTTATGTCTGCAAGTTTGAAGTCTATCGTGGCTGTAGAACTCGCTGCACAAATAGCTGGTCAAATTTAACCTTAAAATGCAATGCTAACACATTTGTGGAATTTGACGCACAAATAGAGAAAACTGCACTGTCTGCAAGGGTATTCTTAGCCAAAGCTTTATTATTGCAAGAAACTGAGTAATCATAAACCTATGGTGAATACAGTTCGCAATACAAGAAGAACAACTTTATGCGGAATGCGGAGCAAGATTAAAAAACATCTACTTATCAAAGTTACCGTGTATTTGCCCTTCTCTTGATAATTTTCGAAACAAAGTCTCAACAAAGCAAGATATAGCATCTACAGAAATCTCATACCAGTTTTTAAGAAGAGGAATATATAATGAAGGGCGGACGTGTTGTTTCCATCTGCGGTTTTTTGCTCTTTCTACTACCCCTTCAGTGTCTTTATCCTGATGGAGAATATCTAAAGCAACTCGTCACAGTTCGGTGCCTCTGCAGGAGTTATTTCGAGTTTGGATTCAAGCAATTCGGAGAAAAAAGGTCGGTTTTACCTTGCTCTACATTGCCGACTCTGACAAATCTACGTTGCTTGGCCCAGCCTGTGAACAATGTTTGTGGAATTGCTGTTGATTACCCATTGTCTTGTTGGTGTTGGAACAACATCATCGCACCTTCTGATCATAGCAATGCTTGTTTGGTGTATATACCGGCTAGTTATCCTATATTCTTCAGAAGGCCTAGGATCAGGCGTTACAGGTGTCCTTGTGCATATTAATCCAACTCATCGGCATCGTTCCATCCATTGCTAATTGGTGATTTGGTATTTAAATTGAATCCTGGACCCAAAGGAATCCCGGCGATTGTTTCAACTCGCAGTAGTCATAACCATGAAACTCAACTATCATCTTCGTCGCGGAGTATTAGCAATTTAATGAGCGTTCGTCGTTATTCTGCCTTGGCTCCGCTTGTTGCAGACAAACACTTGTCGCTGTGCTTGCTAAATGCTCGTTCTGTTAAAAATAAGACTGCTAAACTTTTTGACTATATATGCGACTGCAAGGGTGGCCTTGTTGCGATCACTGAGACTTGGCTGACTACTGACGACGCTGCTGTGCGAGCTGAATTGTGCCCGGTCGAATACAAAATTTCTGATCGCCCACGTACTGGCCGTCGAGGTGGCGGAGTGGCCTTGATATACCGTGATTCGCTATCTGTCAGAAGGATTGATGCTGGCGAGAAAGAATCCTTTGAATACTCCGAATGGACAATCTCATCACCTTCGCTCAATCTTCGGCTTGTCCTTCTTTATCGTCCACCTTATTCAGCTGATCACAGAGTCTCAACTAATGATTTCTTCACGGAGTTCTTTACCTACCTAGAATCCATACTTCTNCATCACCTTCGCTCAATCTTCGGCTTGTCCTTCTTTATCGTCCACCTTATTCAGCTGATCACAGAGTCTCAACTAATGATTTCTTCACGGAGTTCTTTACCTACCTAGAATCCATACTTCTCTCCAAAGAGCATCTTGTGATTGCTGGTGACTTTAATATCCACGTTGATGTCCCCCATGATCCTGATTTAGTCAAACTACTAGATCTTTTACAGTCTGTTGGCCTCCAGCAACACATCACTGAGACTACGCAAATTCAGGGTCACACACTTGATCTTGTTATCACCCGTTCCAGCGATGACATCTTCAATAAGGTCCCTGTAGTTGATCGCTTTATCTCTGACCACACATTTGTTTATTGTACACTTCAGCCCGACAGACCTTGCATGACTACTAAGAACGTTGTCTACAGAAAGCTGAAATCCGTCGATCTTGAATCTCTTAAGCGAGACTTATCTGACTCCTTGTTATGTAGTGATCCACCGGATCTGCAAGTGCATCTTCACTCAGAACATCCACGTGACCTGGATGCTGTTGTACGCAGATACAACACTACACTTTCCAAACTAATTGATTGTCACGCCCCACTTAAGACTAAGACTGTGAAAGTTAGACCTGCAGTGCCTTGGTACAACGACGAGATAAAGGCCGCTAAACGCTTGAGACGCAAGGCTGAGAGAACCTGGAGGAGAACGAGATCTGTGTCTGACTTGAATATTTTCAAGTCTTACAGAAACCGCGTGACGTACCCCATAAACCAGGCCAGGCAGGCATTTTACACTAACTTTATTGATGAGAATAGCACAGACCATAAAATATTATTCAGAGCTACCAAACAACTCCTCGCTAAGAAAGAGGAGTTGTCGTTTCCTAATTATCAGGACAAATCAAAACTAGCCAATGACATCGGGGGTTTTTTCGTTCGAAAGATAGATAGAATTCGTTTTGACATTGATGCCGTAGACATCGATCCAAGCGCGCGCAATGCGCTACCTCTTGATCAGGAAGTAGATGCTGCGCATGCTTTTCATTCCTTTCAACCACTCTCGGAAAACGACGTCTCTGCGCTCATCCGTAAGTCTGCTAAGAAGTCCTGCCCGTTGGACCCGATGCCAACTTCTCTGGTTGTTAGCTGCCTTGACCTGCTGTTGCCTGTTATTTCACGAATCATAAATCTTTCGCTATCATGCGGCCATTTCTCTGAGGAATGAAAAGAAGCTCTGGTTACTCCGATCCTTAAGAAACCTGGCTTAGACCCGACGCAGTTGAATAACCATTGCCCTGTCAGTAACTTGGACTTAATATCAAAATTGACTGAGCGCGCTGTTTTCGACCAAATTCACAGTCATATGAGTCGATTGGCCCTTTATCCAACCTCGCAATCCGCTTACCGAAAGGGTCACAGCACAGAAACAGCGCTACTGAAGGTACAAAACGACATTCTCATGAATATGAATCGCAGGCATGTAACTCTTCTAGTTCTCCTAGATTTGAGCGCAGCGTTTGACACTGTTGACCACAATATCCTGCTTGCTCATCCTAAGTCATGTATCGGCATTAATGGCACCGCCCTTAATTGGTTTATGTCTTATCTTAACAACAGGTCGCAACGAGTCTCGCTAAATGGCTTTACATCTGACAGTTTGACGCTTCCTTATGGCGTTCCACAAGGATCGTGTCTGGGGCCATTGTTGTTTACCATTTATTCCAGCAAACTGTTTGAAGTCATCAAATACTATCTACCTGAAGCTCATGCCTATGCCGATGACACTCAGCTTTACCTGTCGTTTAGTCCTGACACGGCAACTAATTAGACTGATGCGGTCATTGCCATGGAACGCTGTATATCGGACATTCGTACGTGGATGCTTACGGATAAGCTCAAACTTAATGATGAAAAAACTGAGTTCATGTTGATTGGTACAAAACAACAACTTTCCCAAGTAAATATTGATTTCCTTACTGTAGGAAGCATTGACGTTGCTCCTGTCACTGTGGCAAGAAATTTAGGGACATGGTTCGATTCTAACTTGAATCTCCAGGAACAGATCCACAAAACTTGTAAATCTGGGTTTTCCATTTATACAATATTCGGCGTATGCGAAAATATCTGTCCCAGGAGTCTGCACGAACTTTGGTCCATGCTTTTATCATTGGTCGTATAGATTACTGCAACAGCCTTCTGTTTGGTTTACCCTCTGTTCATCTACTTAAACTGCAACGCTTGCAGAATGCAGCTGCTCGGCTTATATCTAATGTCCCTCGCTACAGTCACCCAACACCAGTACTACGTTCGTTACATTGGCTTTCTGTCAAATTTCGTATTGATTTTAAAATACTTCTTTTTACTTTCAAAGCTATCTACGGTCACGCGCCTGGTTACTTGATCGATTTGATTGCTATTAAAGAACAGCCGCGCTATAATCTCCGTTCAGCTAGCGGTCTTACCTTAAAGTATCCTAGTTTAAAACTGAAAAAGACTTTAGGGGATCGTGCTTTTTCATCTGCTGCCCCTAATTTATGGAACAATCTGCCCCTTCACATCCGTCTTGAAGACAA